TGCGGCGCGATCCTCCGACCCCACCTAGGAGGCCTGGAGTACAGGCGCCGGCAGGTCAGTCTTCTGAGGCCCTGGGGGGCCCGAAGTTGAAAGATACCCGCAGACAGGAGAGCCCCCACCAGGCTGTCCGCAGCGGCGGTCGCAGATGGAAGGATCGGCGGCGCGCCCGGGGGGGAGTGAGAGGGGGCGGGCCTTCTCAGAAAGCTCGGACGTCCTCGGGCCTTCGGGAAAGTTCTCTGAGCCTTCCCCGAAGGTACAAAAAACCTTTCGGAAGGCCCGAGGGCTTCCGAGAAGTCCCGCCGCCTTCTGAGAGGGCCTTCTCTTTCTCACCTCCCCTCCTCGCTCGCCGTCGAAAGGAGCGTGGAGGGGCAAGGCGGGAATGGGCGGGGGATGGGCGGATGCGCCCAAGACGCAGTCGGGGAACACAGGCTGCTGGCGAGCTGGCGCGCGCGTAAGCCGGCGGCGGCCTTGGGCATCATGCGCTGCCAGAGGTTGAAGCGGCCGCCCTGTCCTCGGCAAGGGCTCCGCTGTTTCGTGCCATGGTACGCCTGCGTACTTTCCACATGCACATATACAGAGACACACGCGTGAGCTTCGGACGCCCCGAGATCTTGCTACATGGGTGCCTGCCGTACCATAATATACGTTTGAAATATGTGAACCCTCCCTGAAAGCTCCCAATGGGCTCTCGGCTCTTCCCGACGGCCAACCCAGCGGATCTGGGGGAGGTATCTCCCGTCAGTTCTCCCCCCCAAGATGATCCCAAGAGGACCTCCAAGACGGCCACAGTGACCTCCAAGACGGCGCCGAAAGCCTCCTTCCTCGGCTAAGATGGCCTCTCAAGGCTGCCCAAGAGCATCCCTAGAGGCCCCGGCACGGCCTACGAGGACTCCAAGAGACTCAAGAGGTTCGCCACGACCCAAAGATGCCCCCAACACGCCAACTAATCGTCTTGCTCCTCCTCCTCCTCCTCCTCCCCCTCCTCCGACTACTACTATTACAACTACTACTACGACTGCTACTACTACTACTACTACTACTACTACTACTACTACTACTACTACTACTACTACTACTACGACTACGACTACGACTACGACTACTACGACTACTACTACTACTACTACTACTACTACTACTACTACTACTACTACTACTACTACTACTACTACTACTACTACTACTACTACTACTAACTGTTACTACTGTTACTACTGTTACTACTGTTACTACTGTTACTACTACTACTATTACTACTACTACCTACTACTACTACTACTACTACTGCTACTACTACTACTACTGCTACTACTGCTACTACTACTACTACTACTACTACTACTACTACTACTACTCTACTACTACTACTACTACTACTACTACTACTACTAACTACTACACTACTACACTATTACTACTACTAACTACTACTACTACTACTACTACTACTAACTACCTACTACCTACTCCTACTCCTACTCCTACTCCTACTCCTACTCCTACTCCTACTCCTACTCCTCCTCTCTCTGCTCCTGCTCCTGCTCCTGCTCCTGCTCCTACTCTCTCTCCTCCTCCTCCTCCTCCTCCTCCTCCTCCTCCCACTCCTACTCCTCCTCCTCCTCCTCCTCCCTCCTGTTCTACTACTATACCTACTACACTACGACTACGACTACTACTACTACTACTACTACTACTACTACTACTACTACTACTACTACGACTACTACTACTACTACTACTACTACTACTACTACTACTACTACTACTACTACTACTACTACTCTACTACTACTATCGACTACTACTACTACGACTACGACTACGACTACGACTACGACTACGACTACGACTACGACTACGACTACGACTACGACTACGACTACGACTACGACTACGACTACGACTACGACTACGACTACTACTACTACTACTACTACTACTACTACTACTACTACTACTACTACGACAACAACTACTACTCCTACTCCTCCTACTCCTCCTACTACTCCTCCTCCTCCTACTCCCCCTACTCCTACTCCTACTCCTACTCCTACTCCTGCTCCTGCTCCTACTCGTACTCCTAGTACTACTACTACTACTACTACTACTACCTACGACTACTACTACTACTACTACTACTACTACTACTACTACTACTACTACTTACTACTACTACTACTACTACCACTACTACTACTACTACTACTACTACTACTACTACTACTACTACTACTACTAGTACTACTACTACTACTACTACTGCTACTACTACTACTACTACTACTACTACTACTACTACTACTACTACTACTACTACTACTACTACTACTACTACTACTACTACTACTACTACTACTACTACTACTCTACTACTACTACTACTAACTACTACTACTACTACTACTACTACTGATACTACTACTACTACTACTGCTACTACTACTACTACTACTACTACTACTACTACTACTACTACTACTTCTACTTCTACTACTACTACTACTACATTATTCCTTCTCCTCATCTTCCCCTCATGTGTTCCCCCCACGGGTTTCCACAACGCCTTGGCGGCCTAATCCAATAGCTTGGCCAAGCTTTGGCCCAGCGTTTGACCACATCGACGATTCCAGAGAGGCATGGTGTGACGGTAACTCGCCGCAGGCGTCTTCTTCCGGAAGGGCGCTTGGCGTGCTGGACTTGTGAAAACTCTTGGACCCGGCCAACAGAGTGCCACCCGCCCCTGGCCCAACCCGCCGGCCTCCTGGAAACCTGAGGAGAAAGTCGTCTGCCGACGGCCTCCCCGCTCAAGACGGCCCCAAGAGGGCCTTCAACAGGCTGTGTCTCTTTCGACTCTGAATGGAGGGGGGGGGGGGGCAGGCGAGGGGGCGTGGCGAGGCCCGAAAGGAAATCTGAGCTTCGACCACAAGAAACCTTCCACAAGAAGCCCAACCCTGAGACCCCAGGGCGTCCCTTGAGTCTTGGTGTAGGAACGTCACGCTTCACATCGCAAAATCATCAAAACCTAAGAAACCTAGGGTACCCTGGAGGCGAGCAAGGTGTTTCTTGGCATGGGTTTCCACTGTATGCGACATTTCCTCCACAGCGCTGTTTGACAAAGGGGCGGAGGCGGAGGTCGGGGGGTGAATGCCATGCAAGTACACTTGCCGGACTATAGAGTCACACGCCCTCCACGACGGCCGCCCTCCAAAATGACCTCCGGATACCTCCAAGACAGCCAAAAGAGGCCGCCAAAGGGCCGGCCCTGTTGAGCTCTCTTGGTCTCCTCGTCGTCATCGGCCGCAAAGGCGGGGGGCCATGTTCATAACCGCTTGCTGTGTGTACAGACGTGTTGGCCTCTTGCACGTTCTTCATGCGCTTTCTTGGAACGTCTTGACACCCTCTGCGCTCACACGGCGTCCGAGCGTCCTCGGCCGTCGAGCGGGCCCTGGACCGAGCCCGCTGGGTGGCAAAACGGGCAACGTTCCCACCAACATGCGGAATCGAACCCGTTAGGCTGCCCACTCGGCGACCGAACGGACACAGGCGCCACACAGCCTCAGAAGAAACTGAACTCGAGGGCGGCAAACAGGAAGGGGCGGCAGGTCGGGGGTATTCTTCTGAGAACACCCCCCGTCCCACCTGTCGGAAGGTTTGCCAGGAGGCCGCTCACGTGAACAGCATACTGGTGCCTTGCCTACCCCGCAATTCCTAGTTACTGGCTCCACCACCGAAAGCTGAATACCTCCCCGCCCAGTATACTGTTACACGACGCCTCGCCACAACGCCTTCACTACAAGCATCGCTTATACCTCTGCTGCCCCAATCTCTCAGCGCTGGCTGCCCGGACAATCCACAGGCGGGGAGACTGACCCAGCTGCGGTGCACACCTGTGAGCGTGCAGTGTGCATTTACGCAGGACGCGAGGGGGCTGCATAATCCAGGTGCGCGGCTCCTTGACTGCGCATCGCCACTTGCGAATGATCGCGTCGTCCATCACGCGAGGCCAGCTGCGCATCCTGCGGGCAGCTGCAGGTGGCAAGGCAAACAGGCCGATAATTAGCACTCCGGAATGTCAGCTCCCGCGTCACCCCCGCTCGCCAGACCGTCTTTCTTGCACTTGCGAGTAGCAAGGCATATGCGAGCACGAGCAGTGGGAAGACGGAGGCATGGCAAGCCTGGTGAGCTCGAGCCGCAGATGATATCCTACCCCTCCCTCCCATCCCTTCCCATTGCGTTGACTGCTTACTTACTGGTGGACGCGTGAAATAGCCGACCTGGCACTATTACGAAACACATCGTGTTATGCACAGTCGGAAGAACGGAACTGTGTGCACAGCAGGAGGAGGTGGCGGGTGGGCGGCAGGATGAGCAGGAGGAAACAGCCGAGGATGAGGAAGGAGGAGTACGAGAACGAACAGCAGCAGCAGCAGGAACTGAATAATGGAAGACAATATGCGGAGAGTGTCGAGCATCTTCGAAACGAAGTCAGGGAAGAGAGGAGACTAAGAGGGGAGAGGAAAGAGGACGAATGAGGGCGAAACTGAGGATGCAAAAGAGGAGCTCACAATAGCACGTGCGCTGAGGTTTAGAGATTAACACTGTTGCGTACAACCCCTCGCCACCATCTCTCAACGACAGGCAGGCTTTAGGGTCGCCTCCCTGCTTCGGTTCTCGTCTACACTGTCCTCGCATTCGATGGTGCTCATTTCGCATTCGGGTTCGAGTGTGCACATGCGCCGACACTGGCAGCAGCAACACCGGGGGGCGACTCGCAGCTTGCCATGATCCACCCTCAGGATCGCACTTCTTGGCTCCCAGACAACTCAGAGATAGTGTAAGACCGCCCACCCAGACAATTCGAAGACAGTCTAAAGTCTAAGAACACCCTAAACGGCTGCAGGAGCCCCCGGGACCGTTCAGAGATGGCCAAACGAGCTCTCACAAGCTCCAAGATCCCCCTCCCTACGTGCCCCCTAAATACCCACCAAACATCGTTTCCATTTGTCCTCCGATCGCTCCACGGCCACAAAAAAGGCATCCGCTTTTCAGCTCTCCGGTTAGCAGTGTGATGCCCAATGGTCAAGAGCCAAGGGGCACAAACACCAACAAAATTGTGTGCGAGCATTGCGCACGAAAGGACGGTTTACAAGGCTGGCTAGCAATCCCTGTGATGGAGACGTCTATGGGCGCACGTACACCGATGCCAGACATGGCATCGGGAGTTAACGCACCTCCTCTGATGTGCAGCAAAGCCTGTGATAAGCATCCACTGTATAAAACACCTAACCTCTGTATTCTGCATCGCAATGCTAGAATCTTCACGTGCCAGCAGAAGCGCTAGCGGTCATCACCACTCTAAGTACTCACCCCTCGTGGGCAGCGTCGCTCGGAGATCGCCCGAGCATCAGCCGCTCCATGCGCCTGAGCGCGAAATAAAAAATAGCAGAGAAGCACCAGCGCAACGGCGGACTGGCGGTGTTGTTGGATGTGGTTTGAGGTGTTATTGGCCCTTGGCCCGCAAAAAGAGCTCGGGGGCGGGCTCTGTTCCGCCCCCGCGCCAAGGCCACCCTCGCCACTCCCTCGTGCGAGGGCGTCGCCGTGCTCCACCTGCCCCGGTGGCTAGTGGCCGTGGGCGTGGCCGTCCGACGCCGCCTCGCCGCCCTCGCCCTCCACGACCGGGGCGTAGCAGTGCTCGTGGTCCAGGAGCACCAGGCCGATCAGCGCGGCGCCCACCGCGAAGCTGAGGAGCCGCGCGACGGAGCCGAGGGCGCGGTCTCCCATCAGGTCTCCCACCGCGGGGCCGAGCTCCGTCGTGGCCACGTACAGGTAGACTCCGGCGCCCGCGGCGAGGATCGCTCCCTCCACCCCGGAGCCCACGTCGCTGGAGTAAGTGATGATGGCCCCGATCACCGTCGAAAGCCCAGACATGAAGTTGAGGGTGAGGGCCATGGGCCAGGCCATCCTCCCCTTTGTGATCAGGACGGCAAAGTCGGAGAACTCCTGAGGAAGCTCGTGCAGGACCGTGACCCACGCGATCTTCCACCCGAAGGACGCGCCACACGTCTTGAATGCGACCCCGAGGACCAGACCGTCCGAGAAGTTGTGGAACATGTCTCCGAACAGGATGGGAAAGGAGACCAGCCAGCTGGTGGACCTGCTCTTCTGTGGCTCCTCGTCCACCTCCCCGTTTCCGGTCGGCAAGGCGAGGTTCGACCTGGGGGAACCAAAAGGTACCGATAACGCTACTACCAGACCTCTCCCGGGGTGCATTCTGACCAGAATTTCGAGGCGAATCCAACGGTGGCGAGGAGGGCCTTCGAGGAGGCCCAAAAAGGGGATAACGAGGGAAGGGTAGCGGAATGGGTACCTTTTCCTCATTTGACGACCTTTCTCCTATCACGAGCTGGCAGACCTGCTTGACCACAGTGGCGAAGAACCAACCTGCCAAGACGGAAGCGCCCCACATCCCGGATCCGCCCGCCTCCGTCTTCCCGACGGTGACGAGGTACAGGCCCTCTGGCAGCAGAAGGAACACCGCGGCCGCAAAGATCACGCCCGAGGCAAACGAGTGAACGACCGCAACGATGCCGCCCTCGCCCGTCATCATGGCCTTCAGCTTGGGCATGCACGTCATCACGACGAGCACGATGCCGATCAGTGTTGGGACCACGGTGACGAACGCGGCCAAGATTACCTCGCCCCAAATCTTTGAGTCGTGGGTGCCGGTATTCTCGCTGGCGCTCTCGCATCCTGCACCCGACTCCTCGGCCACGGGCTCGATGTCCTCGCCGTTGGCGGACCGGAGGTAATGGTACGCGCCTTCGAACTCTGTCGGGAAGTGCTCCGCGAACACCGCGATGTGGGACGTGCCCGCCGGCACGTAGATCTTGAAGTGCGACGCCCACGTCTCCTGGCTGAAGTGCAGCGTGGTGCCGACATCGAGCGGGATCGTCTCCCCAACGTCCACCTCGTCAGAATCTGTGATCGCGTCCCAATAGGCTTCGGCCTGTGTCTCCAGGTCGTGGAGGTCAGTTTCGGTAGTCGTCATGATCACAATCTTCATGTGCGCGTCGGCGTAGTCCCCGTCGACCTTCTCCGCGTTCCAGTCGTACCAACCCTGCTCCACAGGGAAGATAGCCGACCACTCCCACTCCAAGTCCCACGGGCAGTGCTCCTCATGCTCATCGTGCGAGTGATTGCCGCCCTCTTCCTCGAAAGCGGGTTCTACATCCTCGCCGCCCTCCGATCTTAGATAGTGGAAGCCATTCTCGAACTCGTAGGGACTGTGCTCGAAGAAGACGGCGTAAGCACCAGCTGTGTCAACGTGAAGGATGAAATGGGTGGTCCAAGTCTCATCATCAAAGTTCAGCGTGTACGTACTGCCCGTCTCCAACTCCTCATATGAAGACTTCGCGGTCGAGGTCGCCCACGCCGTCTCGGCAGCCGACTCGACAGCTTCGAGCGACTCACCAGACGAGTCAGCCAGCGGATACACGAGGATCTTCGCGGAACCTAGAAAGCAAGCAAAACATTAACGTGAACCTTCAGCGCTCCGCGCGGACTTCTTGGATCTGCGCTTGACCCCCTTCCCTGACGTGCGGAGCGCGCCAGGGGCAGCGCCAGAGGCGCCGCCAGGGGGGGGGGGGCCAGCGCGGAGCGCCAACAATTTATGCTCATAAAGGGGTTTTCCTTCTTCGAGAGCCGTCCGCGTAGCTTCCGGACTCCGACTTTGTGCAGGACCACGTGTAGTGCCCGGCGGCGAGGTCGAACGTGCCGGCCCACTCCCACGAGGCGCCCCGGGCGGGGGGTGCGCACAGCAGCCCGAGCGCCAGGGTGCGCGCGAGCGCGGACGCCATGGCCTGTCGCTCGCACGAGCGAGGACCGGGGCCAGCCACCAGAGGCCTCCTGGACTGGGTCCGCGTAGAAGAGGTCGGTGGATCGCGCCGCATCGGCGACGCATCGGCGATGCATCGCCGGCGTCGGCGACGCATCGGCGACGTCGGCGCTCCGCACCGAGCCGCATCGCCGACGCATCGCCGATGCGGCGCGATCCTCGGACCCCATCTGCTCCGACCCCATCTGGGAGGCCTAGAGCCACTCTGCGACAGAGCAGCTCGAAGCTGGAGCCAGGAAAGCTCTTGAGCCGAAACAGCTACATACCCCGAGAGGCCACCTTGGGACAACCAAGACTGGTTCCAGCGAGGCCCAAGAGGCGAAGAGTATGGTCCAAGCGCTGCTTGCCTGTCTTGTCTTCTCAATAATCGAATGGGTGAACAAGGCATTCGCCTGGTAGGCACCCGTTGGAGCCCCGCATCTGGTGGGTAAGCCAGGGGTTCGCCTGGTGGGCTCACGTGGGCTCCTCAAAAAGTCCATGTACTACTACTTATGCTGATGCTTCACCTGACGACTAGTAACTGCTACCGGTACAACGACCAAACAACCAACGACAACACAACAACAACAGCAACAACAGACGCAACAGCAGCACCAACAATAACAAGCACAACAATAACAGCAACAACAGCAACAGCAACAACACATAACAATATGAACTAACACTACTGCTACTCCAACTACTACTGGTACTACCCCTACTACGAATACTGCTACTACGACCGCTACAATCACTTCGACTACCACAGCATCAACAACAACAGCAACAATCACAGCAACTACGACTACTACTACGACCACTACTACTACGACTACTACGACTACCACTACTAATCCTACTCCTGCTACTGCTACTTCTACTTCTACTGCTACTACTACTACTACTACTACTACTACTACTACTACTACGACTACTATTACCACTACTACCACTATTACGACTACTACTATTACTACTCCAACTACTACTACTACTACTACTGCTACTACTACTACTACTACTACTGCTACTACTGCTACTACTACTACTTCTACTACTATTACCAGGCCTACTACTACTACGAGTAGTAGTACTACTATTACTACTACTACTACTACTACTACTACTACTACTACTGCTACTGCTACTACTACTACTACTACTACTACTACTACTACTGGGCCTACTATTACTACGACTATTACGACTGCTACGACTACTACTACACATACTACCACGACGACGACGACTACTACTACTACTACTACCACCACCTTCATGTCTACTACGACTACTCCAACTACTACTACTACTACTACTACTACTACTACTACTACTACTATTACGAATAGTACTATTACTACTACAACTACCACTACTACTAACTTTGCTATGACTACGGCGACTACTACTAATACTACTACACTTTTTTCTTCGACTGATACTACTACTACTACTACTACTACTACTACTACTACTACTACTTCTACTACTACTACTACTACTACTACTACTACCTTTACTACTAATACTAATATTCCTGCTACTACTACTACTACTACTACGACGACGACGACTAAGACTACGAGTGCTACTGGTACCGGTACTACTGATATTACTACTAGTATGACTACTACTACTACTACTACTACTACTACTACTACTACTACTACTACTACTACTACTCCTACTCCTACTCCTACTCCTACTACTACTACTACTACTACTACTACTCCAACCGCTGCCACTGTCACTACCACTACCATTACTGCTGCTACTGCTACTGATACGGCTACTACTACTAAAAATAAGCATACCACAACGGCAACAACTAGAACTACTACTACTACTACTACTACTACTACTACTACTACTACTGTTACGATTATTGCGCGTACAAAGAATTACTACTACTACTACTACTACTACTACTACTACGACTACTACTACTACTACTACTACTACTACTACTACTACTTCTACTACTACTACTACTACTACTACTACTACTACTACTACTTTCACCGTGTGTGTGCGTGCTTCATAGCGCCAGCCTTCCTCAGGGATGGCTTCATCGAAGACTCCTCGTCGTGGCGTGAGTGGTACATCGTGGTAGGCTTCTTCGAGGGTGCTTCAGTGTGGCGTGTTTCATCGGAGGTGTCCTTCACAGAGAGTGTGCTTCGTGGAAGCGTATTTCCAGGAATGCTGCAACAAGAAGCTTCACCAAGGAATGCTTTACAAACGAATGCTTCACCAAGTAGTGCTTCACTGAGGAGTGCTTCGCCAAAAAGTTTCCCCAGAGAGCGCTTCATCAAGCAGTGTTTCATGGAGTGTTCCATCGTGGAGATGATACATCGTGGATTGCTTCATTGTCGTGGACGGCTTCGTCGTGGAGTTGATCATCGGGAAGTGCTTCATCGGAGAGTGCTTCATCGTGGGGGTATCTCATCGTGGCGTGCCTCTTGACATTGAAGGCGTGCTTCGCGGAGACGGGCCACAAGAGGCGTGCTTCACGGAGGTGTGCTTCATCAAGTCTCTTCGCTTCTGGATGATGACCTTCGGTGGGTTATCATCTCCGTAGTCGCCTCGCCTCGTCTGCTTTCGGGTCCTTGCTGCCTGGAGTCGCTCTCCAGTCACCGGTGGCAGTCACACCCGCGAGGCGGGGTGAAGACACAACAAGGTGTGTCAGACCATCGGGCAAACTCTGCGGCTGCACCGCGCGGTTGTGGCTCCCGGTCATAGACCAACAACGCGACAACCAGTAATCGTCGTTCTCGTCCTCAGCATGGTTCTTGCCCTGATCGTCGTCCTCCTCGCCCTTCTGGGATATGCGGGGTAAACTATGTGATGGAAGCTATGCCATGTAAGCTACGTGATGTAAACCATGGGAGTGCACACTATGCGGTGTAAGGATATGCTGTGCAAGCTATGCCGTGTAAGCTAGGTGTGAACTGGAAGCGAAAACCATGTGATGTAAGCTATATGATGTAAGCAATGCTGTGTAGTATATGCGGTGTGGGCTGCGTGGTGTAAGCTAAGTGGATCGGTGGCAACTCATGGGAGCCTCCCATCCCATCTTGTCGGCTCTTGTGAATCGACGCTGTTCGACGCTAAATCGACGCTAATATACGCTAAATCGACGCTGATCGACGCTACCCGACGCTAAATCGGCGCTACCTCATCGACTCCCAGACGCTAATCGACGCCAGAGACAGAATTACGAGGGGACACAAGGCTCCTCTGATTTGCTACCGAATATGCGGTGTGGGTTGCGTGGTGTAAGCTAAGTGGTGTCAGCTATGCGGTGAAAGCTATGTCGTATACGCTCGGAGCACAAGGAGAGTATACAGATCTTTCAAGCTGCGTCAACGAATGTCAAGGTTGAGCTCGTCGACCTGGTCCCTGGTGTAGCAGGCCACCTCCGGGTCCAGAAAGAGAGGGTTGACTGGAATCTACAAAAAGGAGCGTCGGGGTCCAGCCAATTGACAACAACAAAAATTGCCACCTCGTTGCGGCCGATATCGCCGGTATGGTAAATTTTGGCCCGTTGACGTCCGGCCGCTTCGCTGGTGCCAGAAGCCTCGATGGTGTCGAAAGGAGGCCGCACGCAACTTGGCCAACACTTCCGGGCACTCCTCCCGCCATCTCTTCCTTCCTCCTCTCCCCCGTTCCTTCGTCCTCTTCCTCCCTCTCCCTCTGCCTCACTTCAGCCCCCACTCCCCCTCCTCGATCCCCCCCCTGCTTGCGATGGGGGCGATCGTGTTGAGAGACCGACTTCCGCTTGTCGGGGTTTGAATCCCCTGAGCCCATCCTGCGCGCCCGAGGGGCGCCGCCGCCGCCCCGGCCCGGGCCAGCGGCTTGGGGCCGACAGGAGTGCAGGCCGACCAGAACGACATGGCCGCAGCTCACAGCCGCACCGTCCCGGGAGGGACAGCGAAGGACGGGCGGGGGAGAGTCGGGCTGGGCGAAAGAGGGGGATGGCAAAGGGGGAAAGGAGAATCAGCTCGCCTGGCCGTTTTTTTTCCTGGCGCCGTGCATCGAGGAACCGGCCCCTCGGTGGGGCCGAAACCAGCTGCATGCAGCAGATTTCGTACCCCCCCCTTCTCTATCCCCCCCTTTCGTCTGGCCCGAGAGGTGGAGGAGGAGGGAGGGCACGGGTGGACCAGGGAGGAGAGGGAGCGATCGCAGACGGCAGCCGGATGCGCAGGCTCTAGGCCGGCGCAACAGGGGGGTAAAAGGAAGAGCAGGAAGGCCGCGGCGAGGGCGAGCGGGAAGGTGACGAGGCCAAGGACGGGGAGGGCGAGGATGTCGACGAACAAAACAACAGGAGGGGGGGGGCGGCAGGCGGGGGTGGCGGAGAGGCGGCGCATCCGGGGCGGCGCTCAGGGCCTGCAGGGGCGCGCCGACGAAGGAGGTGGTCTGCCTCCAGAGGCAGAGGCCGAGGCAGCCTCGCGCGAGCGTGCTGGGTCCTCCTCCTCCTCCTCCTCCTCCTCCTCCTCCTCCTAGTCCTCCTCCTGCATACAGTGGCGACCGAAAACGTACAGGGCATCATCGGAGAAGGCCCCGTGCTCTTCCGATGGCAGCATAGGGCAGGCAAGCCAAGGGGCCTATGAGCGAGAAAACAGAAGGGGTCCTACGCGAGATATCACCGCGGCCTCTCGCTGTGACTCACGCAGGCTGCGAAAACGGCAGGCTGTGTAACGAAAGGCGTTCACGCGCGATCTTATGCGGGCAGCTTGCAAGCAAAAGTCGGCGAAGAGGATTCCCCATTTTTGCATGTACGTCGCTCACCAGGTACACCAGGTCAGGGGCAGAGGGGGCAAGGGGTACCCCCGATGCTGCATGGTCGACCTGCTCGTCGCTCGTGACAGTGATTGGTTTGAACCGATCGGATCGATGAAAGCCCCGCTCAACCTTCACATCTGAAGTGCTGGGCGAAAAGGCTTTCGGATCCACGTTCCACGGGGATGCACATGGGAGCAAGATGTCCTCCCGGTTCAAAAAGTCTCTTGGAGGTCCCCGATAGACCCTGGAGACGTCCCAGGCCCTACAGTGGAGGCCCGACCACAAGAAACCTTTCACAAGAAACCCAATCCTGAGACCCCAGGACGTCCATTGATTCTTGGTGTGGGAACGTCACGCTTACCATCACAGAACCATCGAAACCCCAGAAATCCAGGGCACCCTGGAGGCAAGCAGGGTGTTTCTTGCATGAGCCTCCACTGTAAGGGGTCAAAACCTCAAAAATCCCTTGATGACCATCGTCCCGTCTCGCCCAGTGGCGTATCGCCCCTCCTTCCTCTCTGCTCTCCCCGG